TTGAATCTGAGCCAGTCATGTGATTCAGTTGTGATGAAGGCTAGTTCAGTACTGGAATAGGTTACCAAGGGAGGTTGTGGAATCATCATTGGAGGTTTTTAAGGACAGGTTGGACAAACACCTCAGTGTTGGGGGGCTGGACTAGGTGACCTCTCATAGTTCATTCCAGCCCTACAGTTCTATGATTCTATTCTGAGGAAATGTTTGGTCATTTTATTACATCACTGACCCGGACCACCCCACTAGCACTAAACCGAGACATTTTGAAACCCTCCCAGTAACAAAGTCTGGGAACCAAATACGAGACAAGAGCAGAACAAAAGGAGTGACTTGGGGGATTTTCCCTGACACTGTCCCCAGGGCAGCACACTCCCACAGCCCAGAGCCCAGGGAGAGTTAGGAATCGGCTTTTCCTCGCCCTGCACCTCACCTTGTTCACTGGAAAGTGAATCTGCCCAGGGATGCTGCAGTAAGTGTGTGGGGGCAGGTTAGAGATCTGGGAATCTCTCCCCCCCAATTATTTCTCCCACTGCCCGTATCAATCTCTCTCTCTCTTTCTCCTTGTGTTTCCCATCTCCTGTCCCTCCCCCTCTGGCGGACAGACAGCCATTCCTGGGTGTTCGCTCTCCTGTGGCTGGATCAGCTCCTGCAATTGCTAAGGGGAGGAGAGATGTGGGGTGAGGAAGGGCTATTTGTGCAGAGTCAGTTTCATGCCCATCCCCAGCAGGTTCCCTGAGGGCTCTATTAATCACCTGGAGTCTCTGGCTCAGATGCTGGTGTGGGCAGAGCCTAGGGCTGGCCCATGGAGCAAATTGCAGCTGGAGAAAGTCCTCACCTTGCCTGGGCACAGAGGAAGTTTCACTCCAAGTCACTCCCACGCCCAGACCCCACCGGGGGAGCAGCAGCTGCTCAATCTGGGCTCCCAGATCACAATGCAGGCAGCAGCGTCTCACCTAGGAAGCTCAATCCCAATATCCTGAGGAGAGAGAGACAGTCAGACAGAGACTGAGGGTTTCCCCCAGCTTTAGCAACAACTAAAACTCCCTCCCGTCGTTCACATGCACATTTACCAATGTGATATATGCCATCATGTGCCAGCAATGCCCTTCTGCCATGTACATTGGCCAAACCAGACACTCTCTACGCAAAAGAATAAATGGACACAAATCTAACATCAGGAATTATAACATTCAAAAACCAGTAGGAAAACACTTCAATCTTTCTGTTCACTCAATAACATACTTAAAAGTGGCAAGTCTCAAAAACAGACTCCAACGAGAAACTGCACAACTGGAATTAATTTGCAAACTGGATACCATCAAATTAGGCCTGAATAAAGCCTGGGAGTGGATGGGTCATTAGAAAAACTAATATCCCCATAATAATTTCCCCCTACTGTTACTCACACCTTCTTGTCAACGGTTTGAAATGGGCCACCCTCATTACCACTACAAAAGTGATTTTTCCTCCTTTGGTATTCTACTGTTGAGAATAGCCCACTTCCACTTTAATTGAATTGTCTCATTAGCACTGACCCCCCACTTGGTAAGGCAATTCCCATCTTTTCATGTACTATGTATATACACCTGCTACTGTATTTTCCACTCCATGCATCTGATGAAGTGTTTTTTTGCCCACAAAAGCTTATGCCCAAATAAATGTGTTAGTCTCTACGGTGCCACAAGGACTCCTCATTTTCCCCCCTCCCCACAGGGACATATCCTGATTTTGTTGCCCCCATGTTAATCTGGAGTTACTTCATGTACTTTCTTGAAGTTTCTCTTGATTAACACTGGTTTCAGTGAGACCAGAAACATGGCTCAGGAGGGAGGAGACCAGAGTCCTTTCCTCCTCCCTCACTCCCTCTGCCCCTTCTTCTGAGGATTCACAGCAACAGTTTTCCCTCCAAAACCTGAAGTTCCTCCGTTTTGAAAATGCGGAGAGAAGCAAAGCCTGAGAGAAAAAGTGCAGCTACTTATATACTGGGGGGTAAATTAACTATCAAATGTAGCCCATAAATCCAGCTTTAGCATTTATTTTATGCAGCAGTAATGCCAGGAACCTACTGGCCTGTATCCTGTACGATATTGGCTTGAGCAGTTAGCATAAGGCTTGAGGCCTATGAACTCTGGCAGAGATAAACAGTCATCCCTAAGGTTTGGAGAACTGGAAACTGAGTGTCTAAGGGGGAATTTTATTCGTAAAGACACCAGCCAACCAGAGGAACATGAGCTAACATCGGCTTTTCGGTAGAGCATCCTCAGATGTCTGACCACAGGAGTGCCATGGCAACGAATTGACACTTATGATACCAAGATGAGATCATTAATACACTAACCTATAGGAGAAGGACACCCCAACATTAGTAGGGAGAGGAAATACAAATAAGGAAGAGGGGAGAAACCCCTACTGAACATGCATTACACCTAGCGACATCAGCAGAACATATTATCGGCTGCACAACTCAAGAAAGGGATCTGCATGTTGCTATAGACAGATCAATGAAAAGCTGCACTCAATGCACAGCTGCCAGCAAAAAAGCGAACATGTTAAGATTCATAAGGAATGGGATGGAGAATAACACCGAACATTTGTGTATAAATCAAGGGGGCAGCCTCCAATATCCTGGGACCACTATGGCTACTACAGCACTGCACACAGGATATTTTATATCTATCTTTGAGAATTGGAGAAGAATTAGGTCTAAAAAGAAATATTTGATAATGAGAGAAAAGCACCCGGATTTAAAGAGATTTTATATTAAGTGAGAGAGAGTAGTTGGACAGTTTGATGGGATTGTATATGGAAGTTCAATAAATAGACAGTAATAATTCCCGCCACACACCCACACCATTCACATGGCAGCAGGGAGACCTTTGGGGAGGTGCTTTAAGAGGGTACGTGAGGGGAGTATGGAGCAGGAAAACTCCCTGGCAGTGGGGAGGAGGCAGCAGCAGGGGCGGGCAGGTGACTGGCAGCAGGGGAGAGCTGTGTTGGGCACTTGCAGGTAGCAGTAGCCAGGACTGTGTAAACTTGGGCTGGACAGTCTCCAGTGGGGACTTTTTCCTGCTGTCCCCTTCCTTGCCTTATTGCTGGCAGAGAATGGCCACCCCATCCCACCCCAAGCTGCAGCCATTAAGCCCCTTCTCATTTGGGGAATGATTCAGGACAATTTCCCAAAGAAAGAAAGAAAGAAAAAGAAAATTTGCTGCAGCTCAAACGGATGGGAAAAATGGAGAATTAGAGAGAAAATGGGGCAAAATCTGAAAAGGAGACAAGAAAGTATCAAAAATTGCTCCATCAGAACCGACCCTTCATGGAGCAGTTGCTGCTTTTACATTTGAAAGGAGCCTTCCTCTCTTTGGCCTTGGCTACACTTGAGAATTCACAGCGCTACCGCGGCAGCGCTGTGAAGCGCGAGTGTAGTCGCGCTGCCAGCGCTGCAAGAGCTCTCTCGCAGCGCTGTATGTACTCCACCTCTCCGAGGGGAATAGCTTGCAGCGCTGCGAGCGAGCGTGTAGCGCTGATTACACTGGCACTTTACGGCGCTGCACTTGCTGCGCTCGGGGGGGGGGCGTTTTCACACCCCTGAGCGCAGCAAGTTGCAGCGCTGTATAGCGCCAGTATAGCCAAGGCCATGACTCCTCCTCATGGGGCCATGGTAGGACATGGTGACCCAGTGTAGCTGACTTGAGGCTGCTGCGAGGTGAGCAAAGCCAAACCAGGGTTCCCCTACATCAGTGGTTCTCAACCAGGGGTACACGTACACCTGGGGGTACACAGGGGTCTATCAACTTAGGCTTGAAATTAGACGAAGGTTTCTAACCGTCAGAGGGGTGAAATTTTGGAACAGCCTTCCGAGGGAAACGGTGGGGGCGAAAGACCTCTCTGGCTTCAAGATTAGGCTAGATAAGTTTATGGAGGGAATGGTTTGATGGGATTACGTGATTCTAATCAATTAGGCAATAATGGACATCGCTGGTTAAATGAGGGTCTGGCTAGAGATTCTTGCCTGTATGCTCGGGGTTCTGCTGATCGCCATATTTGGGGTCGGGAAGGAATTTTCCTCCAGGGTGGATTGGCAGTGGCCCTGGAGGTTTTTCGCCTTCCTCCGCAGCATAGGGCAGGGGTCGCAAGCTGGAAGATTCTCTGCGACTTGAAGTCTTTAGATCACGATCTGGAGACTTCAACAGCAGAGCTAAGGGAAAGTGGGGGGGTCAGCTTCTGTGGCCTGCATCATGCGGGGGGTCAGACTAGATGACCATATTGGTCCCTTCTGACCTTAAAGTCTATGAGTCTATGAGTCTATAACTCAGCTAGATATTTCTCTAGTTCTACAAGAGGCTACAGAAAAAGCACCAGCGACGTCCGTACAAACTAAATTCCCCCACAGACACTGACTCGCACACAGGGCTCTACACACCAGGAACGGGCAGGTGCCTGCAGCGTTGACATCCCTGGTGATTTATTGTCTCAGGCCCCGGGCGCGGGGACACGCGGGTGTCTCTGGATCTGACACTCGGGGACGCACGTGACCCGCTACCCGACACCGGCCCCGGACTTATCCCTCGGGCAGGAGACCCCCCGCCCCAACTGCCAGCTGGCCGCAGGGAGGCAGGACATGGCGGGGGGGGGGGGGGGGCACTAGCCAGACCCCGGGGAGCAGCCGGTGCCCAGAGACCCAGGCGCAGCGGCCAGATGTAGTGTATTAAAGTGCTCGCCGCAGGAATGTGCTACTTACAGTGTCTGGCAGCCCCCGCCCAGCCCCACGCACGGACCCCAGTGGGGGCTGGTCCCCTCCCCCCGAGACCCCCCGTGGGGCCCCAGGGCAGAGCCTGGCCGGGCCGGGGGCGTTGGGCTCCTGCGGGGACAGCAGCTCCGAGCCCCCCGCGGGCGCGGCCCCAGGGAGCAGATCCCGGCGCTGCGAGATGCCGGGTCCCCCCCACGGACACTGGGGCAGAGTCACCGCCCGGCCCCGCCCCCGCGACTCGCTCCGGTACCTGGAGGCTGCAGCTCCGCAGCGGGGCGGGCAGAGCCCGGGGCGGCCCCAGGGCGGCCCCAGCGGGAGCAGGGCCCGGGCCGGGCGCGGGGGGGTTAATGGGTCTCCCCGGCTCAGACCCTCCTGCTCAGCCCGGCCCCGCAGCGCCAGGGAGCAGCAGCGGGTGAGCGCTGCCTCTGCGCGTGCCCAGAGCTTGAATGGCACAAAACCCTTCTCCGGCTCCGGGAAAGCCTCCAACGGCCCCGCACGAGCCGGGCTGTGTACGCACGCGAGGCGCTGCGGCTCTGCCTGGCTCGGCCTTCCGGTCAACGTCACTTCCGCTCCAGGGAGAGTCAGGGACTACATCTCCCAGCCTGCACCGGGGGGCGCTTCTGCCCTCTCCGCCCAGGTAAGGGAGGGTTTCAGCAGCGGTTACTGCGCATGCTCCGTGCCAGCCCCGCTCGTCCTACCCCCCCGCCCAACGTCACTTCCGCTGCTACCTCTGTGTGGTCTGGGGGCCCGGGCTGAGCAGCTGCTGCTACTCGGGGTCTGTGCGGGGGAGCCCGGCATTAACCCCTCCGTGCCCGGCCAGGGGGGCTTTCTCCAGCTGGGACCCGCCCCCTGGGCAGCCCCGGGCCGGAGACCCCCGGTGAGTGAGAGACCCCGGGTGGGGGGCGCTGGGGCCGGGCAGGAAAGTGACTCTCCGACCCGGGGAACCTGGGAGAAGCCTCGGAGCTGCCTCAGCCCCAGCGGAGCTGCAGCAGGATCTGCCCCCGGCACCGCTGGGATTGGGGGGGGCAGAGACTGGGGCCCGGCGGGGGGGTCCCTGTGGTGTGGGGGGAGAGGGGTGTCGGGCAGGGAGGGGAGAAGCCGGAGTTGGGGGGGGAGTTAATTGGATCCTGTCCCTGTTTGTGTCACTTGCCTCTCACCCCCTGATACAAATTCTCTCTAGTTCTTCCCCTTTCCTCTCTCACTATCTCACACGTGGCTATAAAATCTGGGACAGATCGCGCCCCCCCTTTTTCTACTCAAATTATCTCTGATCCGCTCTCTCGTCTCTCCTGCTTTCTTCCTGTTCTCTTCATATTTCTCAAATGTCAATTTAAAATCTCCTCCAATGGGGCGGGGGATTTTTTCCACCCATTTTATTTGCTGTCCTCAGTCGTTCTCCATCCTGGTTGTTGCTGGGGCGTCAATTTCCCAGTGATCATCTTTCCCCTCCCCTTTGAGAATCATTTGTTCCCTCCTTTATCTCTGTTTAAAAATGTTTGCCGATGAAAGAGACAGCCATATATTTAATACCCATCAAAGCCAGAGGCCTCCCCCTGTCTGGGGGATCAGTGGTTCCCAGCTGGTAACGGGAGAGTTGGCTGGATCCTTTTTTTTCTCCAGCTGGTCACTCTGAGGGTACGTCTATACTTACCTCCTGGTCCGGTGGTAAGCAATCGATCTTCTGGGATTGATTTATCGCGTCTTGTCTAGACACGATAAATCGATCCCGGAAGTGCTCGCCGTCGACGCCGGTACTCCTGCTCCGCGAGAGGCGTACGCGGAGTCGACGGGGGAGCCTGCCTGCCGCGTGTGGACCCGCGGTAAGTTCGAACTAAGATAGGTAGCTGAAGTTGCGTATCTTAGTTCGAAGTGGGGGGTTAGTGTGGACCAGCCCTGAGTGCACCGTGGGTCCAGAAGTATCCCAAACCCCATGACAAATTGTCTCTGTGAGGGGCTGCTTCCCACAGTGCTAAGATGTAGCCACCTCTGGAGTGGATCCATTACACTGGTCTACAATTTTTGAGAAGACATCTGCTTCAGAGATAAAATGTGCTATTTATTATGTATTTTGATGT